AAAGACTTGCTTCTCCAATATGGGAGTTAAGGGCTACCATCCCTATCTTAATTATCTTAACTCTTCCATCCCCCAGACGCTGTATGGCCCATACGGCTTTACTGCTTCTCATAATAATAATAAGTGTAGAAGGCAAATCTTGTATAGTTAAGTTATCTTGAAAGTAAATAAGTACCTGAAATAAATAGGTAGCTGCAGTTAATAGGTACCCACAGTAAACAGGTACCTGCAGTAAATAGGTGCCTGTGGTAAATAGGTATCTGAGTGTTATATGATGCATTCAGTGGAATTTTTCGTTCATGTGACAGAAATCTCTCCTGATGCTGGTGGTAAGTATACAGCTTTTTCATATAACACGATATATACACCAAGAAGTATATTTCAGCCTTGATCTACTGAGAGTTACCTAGGTTATCCTAGGTTCTCTACACATATGCTGCTATGTATGATAATTCTATGTAACTGTATTTGTGTATACCTGAATAAACTTACTTACTTACTAGTAGGTATTAAAGTATTGGGATCCTTGACTGATTTCCATTGGGATCCTTGGATCCTAGTGAAGTCGATAGGCTTGAAAAAACCATTAACCATCATGCCATCGTAGTACCAGCACTGAACTACGACCCACGTTCTTGTAAATCGGTTTCACTTAATATACATAATTTTTCTGTAGTGGTATGAGTAGTGAAGGCTTGAACCTCCGTCTGCTAATCACTAAACAGAGGAATTACACTTCCCAGTGTCTTTTCAACCAATTCCCTTACCACCAATACTTTCTTCCATACAGGTCGAGAATGAGGGCTTTGGTTGCAATACTTGTGATACTCCTGGTTGATGTCCTCATGGCAGACAAGTTGCCAGGTCACCAGCACACACACCATGACCACAGCGGGGAGAATCTATCTGGCCCTAACCAGCACACAGACTACCATCACAGCCATGATATTAGTGAAAATCTATCAGTTCGTGGCCACCACACAGACCACCATCACAACCACGACACCGTCGACAATCCACCATCTGACCAACACACAGATCATGACCAGGGCTACAAGGATATTGATGTCATTGATATCAGATCAAGCGTGAGTGAGATTCTCCAACCTCCTCCAGGTAATCCCCCCCCTTTTAATCCCCCCACCACCTCGGGGGTTGGCCTCCAGCTCCTGCCCCACTTCAGACCAGCCTACGCAGCGGGATTCAGTGTCCATCACCAACGGACTGGGTTTTCCTCCCCCAAAATCAAATTCGGCCGTCTTTGGGAAGTTTTTTTACGGGGAAAAATTTTATTGAAGGTCGCACTCCGTCTGCAAATCCCGGAACAGAAAATATATTCTTTTAAACGGCCCTTTTCCATCTAGAAACCCAACTAATGTTTTTTTTGACGTTTTCTAACTTAGCTAACTTTAGTTTTGTGGTTTTACTTTGGGTTGCACACAAGGCGGGGGAGGTGATGCCCAGTTGCAGGAGCAAACTTTTCCCGCCCCTGTTGGGGTTTCCAAAGGGGGGGCCCCATGGGGGGGGGGGGGGGGAAAAATTTTTTTTACCTTTTTTTTATCTTGGGGAACTTTTTCACCTATTTTAGCTCTATGTAGAGCTTTAACCCCCCATATTTTGCCTTTTTTAGGGCTTTTTTTCCCCCTCATTTTTTGCAGTGTAGAGCTTAAAAACCTCATATTTAGCTTTTGTAGAGCTTTTTTTACCCCATGGGGTTAGCCCCTATTGGTTTTGAGCTTTAAAACATCATATTTGCTCTTGTTGAGCTTTTAAAAACCCCCATGTTTAGCTGTGTAGAGTTTAAAAACCCCCATGTTTAGCTGTGTAGAGATTTATCAAAATCATGTTTAGTTGTGTAGAGTTATCACCTCATGTTTTGCTGTTTTAGAGCTTATCAGTCATGTTTAGCTGTGTGGGCTTTATCACCTCATGTTTTGCTGGTAAAAGGGTTTATCACCCCATGTTTTTGCTGTGTAGAGCTTCATCAGCTCATGTTTGGGTGTGTAGAGCTTCATCACTCATGTTTAGCTGTGTAGAGCTTCTAAGCTCATGTTTAGCTGTGTAGAGCTTCATCAGCTCATGTTTAGCAGTGTAGAGCTTCATCAGCTCATGTTTAGTGTGTAGAGCTTCATCAGCTCATGTTTAGCTGTTGTAGGGGCTTCATCACCTCATGTTTAGCAGTGTAGAGCTTCATCACCTCATGTTTAGCTGTGTAGAGCTTCATCAGCTCATGTTTAGCTGTGTAGAGCTTCATCACCTCATGTTTAGCTGTTTTAGAGCTTCATCAGCTCATGTTTAGCTGTGTAGAGCTTCATCAGCTCATGTTTAGCAGTGTAGAGCTTCATCAGCTCATGTTTAGCAGTGTAGAGCTTCATCAGCTCATGTTTAGCAGTGTAGAGCTTCATCAGCTCATGTTTAGCTGTGTAGAGCTTCATCACCTCATGTTTAGCAGTGTAGAGCTTCATCACCTCATGTTTAGCAGTGTAGAGCTTCATCAGCTCATGTTTAGCAGTTGTAGAGCTTCTTTACCTCATGTTTAGCTGTGTAGAGCTTCATCCCCCCATGTTTAGCAGTGTAGAGCTTCATCGCTATGTTTAGCAGTGTAGAGCTTCATCACTCATGTTAGCGTGTAGAGCTTCATCACCTCATGTTTAGCTGTGTAGAGCTTCATCAGCTCATGTTTAGCTGTGTAGAGCTTCATCAGCTCATGTTTAGCTGTGTAGAGCTTCATCAGCTCATGTTTAGCAGTGTAGAGCTTCATCAGCATATGTTTAGCAGTGTAGAGCTTCATCAGCTCATGTTTAGCAGTGTAGAGCTTCATCACCATGTTTAGCAGTGTAGAGCTTCATCACCTCATGTTTAGCAGTGTAGAGCTTCATCAGCTCATGTTTAGCAGTGTAGAGCTTCATCAGCTCATGTTTAGCTGTGTAGAGCTTCATCAGCTCATGTTTAGCTGTGTAGAGCTTCATCAGCTCATGTTTAGCATTTGTAGAAGCTTCATCACCTCATGTTTACCCCAGTGTAGAGCTTCATCAGCTATGTTTAGCAGTGTAGAGCTTCATCAGCTCATGTTTAGCGTGTAGAGCTTCATCACTCATGTTTAGCTGTGTAGAGTTCATCAGCTCATGTTTTAGCTGTGGTTAGAGCTTCATACCTCATGTTTAGCTGTGTAGAGCTTCATTACCTCATGTTTAGCTGTGTAGAGCTTCATCAGCTCATGTTTAGCTGTGTAGAGCTTCACCTCATGTTTAGCTGTGTAGAGCTTCATCAGCTCATGTTTAGCAGTGTAGAGCTTCATCAGTTCTGTTTAGCTGTGTACAGCTTCATCCCCCTCTTTGTTTAGCTGTGTAGAGCTTCTTTCAGCTAATGTTTAGCTGTGTAGAGCTTCATCACCTCATGTTTAGCTGTGTAGAGCTTCATCACCTCATGTTTAGCTGTGTAGAGCTTCATCAGCTCATGTTTAGCTTTTGTAGGGGCTTCTCAGCTCATGTTTAGCTGTGTAGGCTTCATCACCTCATGTTTAGCTGTGTGGAGCTTCATCACCTCTGTTTAGCTTTTGTAGAGCTTCATCAGCTCATGTTTAGCAGTTTTAGAGCTTCATCAGCTCATGTTTAGCTGTTTTAGAGCTTCTCACCTCATGTTTAGCTGTGTAGAGCTTCATCAGCTCATGTTTAGCTGTGTAGAGCTTCATCAGCTCATGTTTAGCAGTGTAGAGCTTCATCCCCTCATGTTTAGCAGTGTAGAGCTTCATCAGCTCATGTTTAGCTGTGTAGAGCTTCATCACCTCATTTTTAGCAGTGTAGAGCTTCATCACTCTGTTTAGCAGTGTAGAGCTTAAATCACCTCAGTTTAGCTGTGTAGAGCTTCATCACCTCATGTTTAGCTGTGTAGAGCTTCATCACCTCATGTTTAGCTGTGTAGAGCTTCATCACCTCATGTTTAGCTGTGTAGAGCTTCATCAGCTCATGTTTAGCTGTGTAGAGCTTATCAGTATGTTTAGCTGTGTAGAGCTTCTTTCAGCTCATGTTTAGCTGTTTGTAGGCTTCATCGCTCATGTTTAGCTGTGTAGAGCTTCTTTCCACCTCATCTTTAGCTGTGTAGAGCTTCATCACCTCATGTTTAGCTGTGTAGAACTTCATCAGCTCATGTTTAGCTGTGTAGAGCTTCATCAGCTCATTTTTTAGCTGTGTAGAGCTTCATCAGCTCATGTTTAGCTGTGTAGAGTTTCCCATCAGCTCATTGTTTAGCTGTGTAGAGCTTCATCAGCTCTGTTTAGCTGTTTTTAGAGTTCATCACTCATGTTTAGCTGTGTGGAGCTTCATCACCTCATGTTTAGCTGTGTAGAGCTTCTCAGCTCATGTTTAGCAGTGTAGAGCTTCATCAGCTCATGTTTAGCTGTTGTAGAGCTTCATCAGCTCATGTTTAGCTGTGTAGAGCTTCATCAGTCATGTTTAGCTGTGTAGAGCTTCAATCAGCTCATGTTTCCCGTGTAGAGCTTCATCACCCTCTGTTTAGCAGTGTGAGCTTCATCACTCATGTTTAGCTGGTGTAGAGCTTCATCACCTCATGTTTAGCAGTGTAGAGCTTCATCACTCATTTTTTAGCAGTGTAGAGTTTCATCACCTCATGTTAGCTGTGTAGAGCTTCATCCCCTTTCATGTTTAGCTGTGTAGAGCTTCATCACCTCATGTTTAGCTGTGTAGAGCTTCATCACCTCATGTTTAGCTGTGTAGAGCTTCATCAGCTCATGTTTAGCTGTGTAGAGCTTCATCAGCTCATGTTTAGCTGTGTAGAGCTTCATCAGCTCATGTTTAGCTGTGTAGAGCTTCATCAGCTCATGTTTAGCTGTGTAGAGCTTCATCAGCTCGTGTACAGAGCTTTGTCATGTCACAATAAAGGAAACATGACTTAATAAAGGTCTACACAGAGCCAAATATGACATTTTGTTTATATTGTTTTCTAATTGGCCAGTAGGCCTGTTGCAGTGCTCCTTCTTTCTTATGTTCTTATGTAATTGTTGTTGCATATCTTGTGTCACAGGTCTGTACGATGTTCCCAGAGAAGAGACCATTCCCCAGACTCAGCAGGGGTCCTGCCAAGCCCAGACCCTTGTGGTCACCTCCAGAGACGTTGTGGTCTCAACTAGCCTGGTGTACTCTCAGGTCAGTGTGCTCGACCCCCCTTCCCTGTGGTACAGACCCTTGTGGTCACCTCCAGAGACGTTGTGGTCTCAACTAGCCTGGTTACTTCAGGTCAGTGTTTCTCGACCCCCCCTTTCCCCGTGGTACAGACCCTTGTGGTCACCTCCAGAGACGTTGTGGTCTCAACTAGCCTGGTGTACTCTCAGGTCAGTGTGCTCGACCCCCCTTCCCTGTGGTACAGACCCTTGTGGTCACCTCCAGAGACGTTGTGGTCTCAACTAGCCTGGTGTACTCTCAGGTCAGTGTGCTCGACCCCCCTTCCCTGTGGTACAGACCCTTGTGGTCACCTCCAGAGACGTTGTGGTCTCAACTAGCCTGGTGTACTCTCAGGTCAGTGTGCTCGACCCCCCTTCCCTGTGGTACAGACCCTTGTGGTCACCTCCAGAGACGTTGCGGTCTCAACTAGCCTGGTGTACTCTCAGGTCAGTGTGATCGACCCCCTTCCTGTGGTACAGACCCTTGTGGTCACCTCCAGAGACGTTGTGGTCTCAACTAGCCTGGTGTACTCTCAGGTCAGTGTGCTCGACCCCCCTTCCCTGTGGTACAGACCCTTGTGGTCACCTCCAGAGACGTTGTGGTCTCAACTAGCTTGGTGTACTCTCAGGTCAGTGTGCTCGACCCCCCTTCCCTGTGGTACTTTTATGTCAGTGTAAAATGAGAAGACAAGGATAATGGCTGTTCTTACTATATTCTTGTCACTGGGGAGCGTTAAATCCACAAGGGAGAGGTAAATCAGGATTAAGCCAAAGGTCAGAGTAACCCCGGTTACTTTGAGAAGAGACACACATACACTGCGTTGACACCCTTCTAATTCTAGTATCTTATCTATTTCAATATCTATTCCATATTCCTAATGTAACTTCTATATCTATTCCAACTCCTAGTATTATCTAATACGGTTTAGGTCATCACATAACTAAGACCCACGACCGGAAACACCCTTGTGTGGCCTGACGAGCAACACACCACACCTAGTACGGGCCATTAATGGCCCATCTAGTAAATGTTAGATCCTGTGTTCTAGGCTCCTACATTTTGAAAAAAAAATTTCTGATAAATTTATATACAACAATAAATTTATTTTTAACTAATTTATTGTTAACAAAACAGGTGATTACAATACAGATTTGTTTTTATGGTATGTGTGTGCTTAATTATCTCTGATTAGAATAATTAATTATAATGGTTATGTTATTGTTATAATTACAGAGCTATAATCGATGTTGGCCCATACTGGGCAGGTCCTTCACAAATCCAACCCACTGGTGGCCTGGTGGTTAACGCTCTCGCTTCACACGGTGAGGGCCTGGGTTCGATTCCCAGCCAGAGTAGAAACATTGGACGTGTTTCTTTCCACCTGTTGTCTATGTTCCCCATCAGTAAAATGGGTACCTGGGTGTTAGTCGACTGGTGTGGGTCGCATCCTGGGACACTGACCTAAGGAGGCCTGGTCACAGACCGGGCCGCGGGGGCGTTGACCCCCGGAACTCTCTCCAGATAAACTCCAGATAAACTGGCAAAATATTTGCCCAACCCACTTCAACAACCCCTTCAACATCATTACCTATACTCTCATTGTACCAAAATAACTTCATTGTCCCCAGGTGGTGGTACCGACCACTGTGGTCCAGAGGGTCACCTCCACCAGGGTGCAACACCAGACCTCTTATGTGACGGTCCGAGGACCTGTTCAGGTGAGTCAGACTTATACAAGTGGTGAATATATTATCCTTACTCATGTGACCTAATCTGTGACCCAGTTAGTCTGTTGCACTGAGATAAAACATCCCAGAAATAGACCTATTTCTAATCTGTTGAGGTAAAACACCCCAGGAGTAGGCCTATTTCCTGTATCCAGGTAAAAAACCTCAGCAGTAGGCCTGTTTTCTGTTACTCTTCCACGAATTAATATACACAGAGAGAGACACATGTCTCAGTATATATAAGCTGAAAGATTGATCACTATCTTAGGTATGAAAGTATTCTTGACTGGTAGTAGAGAGATAACATGCAGTCTTAAGTGACTCTAGTCTAGCAGATAGTCTTTAAAAAAGTCTGATGTTATAGGTGGTGACCTCGCGTGTGACAGAAGTGCAGTACATTACTGTGACCAGGACCAACCCAATACTTCAGACTGTCACCAGTATAGCTACGCAGTACCAGCCTAGGTATATTACCAGTACACAGATCCAGTATGTGCCCAACACCGCCTGCCCCGCTGCTGCTGCTGCCCAGAGTTCAGGGTACTCATACCCTGAACCAGATGCGCCTAGTTCAGGATACTCATACCCAAAACCAAAGGACAATGGAACACCAGCAGGTAGTATCCTGCCCACCACCTCCTATAACAGAGGAGTTGCCAGACCAGCAACGAGCGATACTGGGCTAGTGAGACCAGCACCGGACTCCAGCGGGCTAGTGAGAGCAGCACCGGACTCCAGCGGGCTAGTGAGACCAGCACCGGACTCCAGTGGGCTAGTAAGACCAGCACCGGACTTTAGAGGGCTAGTGAGACCAGCAACGGACTCCAGCGGGCTAGTGAGACCAGCACCGGACTCCAGCGGGCTAGTGAGACCAGCACCGGACTCCAGTGGGCTAGTAAGACCAGCACCGGACTTTAGCGGGCTAGTGAGACCAGCACCGGACTCCAGCGGGCTAGTAAGACCAGCACCTGACTTTAGCGGGCTAGTGAGACCAGCATCTGACACCAGCGGGCTAGTGAGACCAGCACCAGACTACCATTCCAACTCATTCGGCTACCACGGACCTTTCTTCGGCCCCTTCTACGCTAGACCAGCAGTATATCCCCAACAGAGCAGGTTGAAGAGCATTTTAAGCAAGTTGGGCTTATAAGGCTCCAGATTAATGCTACTGAGACCTTTGTAATGAAGGTACTTTGCAGTACCGCTCACAGGATGACCTGTGAGTCCTCAGTAAACTAGCCACTCCGGACACAACCTGACTGAACACATATCTTAATATAAGACAGGATAATTTCATTAATTGTATACTGAGTACGAGGGATCGAAACGGTGTCTGGTTCGTGTGCAAGCTTACACACCTGTCATACAACTGTCACACACCTGTCATACAACTGTCACACATCTGTCACACACCTGTCATACAACTGTCACACACCTGTCATACAACTGTCACACATCTGTCACACACCTGTCATACAACTGTCACACACACCTGTCATACAACTGTCACACATCTGTCACACACCTGTCATACACCTGTCACGCACCTGTCATACAACTGTCACACACCTGTCATACAACTGTCACACACCTGTCATACACCTGCCACATCTGTCATACACCTGTCATACAACTGTCACACACCTGTCATACACCTGTCACACACCTGTCATACACCTATCACACACCTGTCACCTGCCACACACCTGTCATACACCTGTCGTACACCTGTCACACCTTTCACACACCTGTCATATACTTGTCACACACCTGTCATATACCTGTCACACACCTGTCATACACCTGTCATACACAAGCTGGCACTGGACAAGCACCTAAAGTCAGTTCCTGATCAGCCGGGCTGTGGCTCGTACGTTGGTTTGCGTGCAGCCAGCAGCAACAGCCTGGTGATCAGGCTCTGATCCACCAGGAGACCTGGTCACAGACCGGGCCGCGGGGGCGTTGACCCCCGGAACTCTCTCCAGGTAAACTCCAGGTAAACACCTGTCACAACTGTCACATACCTGTCACACACCTGTCATACACCTGTCACACACCTGTCATACACCTGTCACACACCTGTCATACACCTGTCACACACCTGTCATATACCTGTCATATACCTGTCATACACCTGTCACACACCTGTGACTGGTGCTCTGGGTTATTCTACCCCTGGTAACTTGATCAACCAGGCTGTTGATGATTGGCTCCAGTAGACCTACATACCGTGTGTGGATATTAGTAAACATAGTCTAATAAACCCAAGATTCACAGGTTTATAAACCCAATATTTACAGGTTTATAAACCCAAGATTGACAGGTTTATAAACCCAAGATTCACAGGTTTATAAACCCAAGAGTTACAGGTTTATAAACCCAAGATTGACAGGTATATAAGCCCAAGATTCACAGGTTTATAAACCCAAGATTCACAGGTTTATAAACCCAAGATTAAACAGGTTTATAACCCAAGATTTCACAGGTTTATTAGTTTAAAACCCAAGATTTTTAAAAACAGGTTTATAAACCCAAGATTCACAGGTTTATAAACCCAATACTCACAGGTTTATAAACCCAAGATTCACAGGTTTATAAACCCAAGATTCACAGGTTTATAAACCCAAGTTTTACAGGTTTAAAATGACTTAAATAACTTATAAATAAAGTTTATATGGTTTTAATATGAGTTTTATTTTCCGGATCAACAAGAAGGTTTAAAAATAAAACAGAGGCAGGTCCAGTTCCTTGGATCAAGAGCCCTTCATCGAGAGGGGGCGGGCGGCCCTCAGTACAAGAGTACAGAAGAGAAGGGGGCCACAGGTGGAGTATCTTGTTCCGAGGAACCGGAACTACTTCTCCCCTTCCTTGGATCAAACCTTAGACCCTCTTGTCTCCAAGTGCTCTGACTTTTACGGGTTTAAGAACATAAGAACATAAGAAAGAGGAACACTGCAGCAGGCCTGTTGGCCCATACTAGGCAGGTCCTTTACAATTCATCCCACTAACAAACATGTGACCAACCCAATTTTCAATGCCACCCAAGAAATAAGCTCTGATGTGCAAGTCCCTCTCAAATCCAACCCCTCCCACTCATGTACTTATCCAACCTAAATTTGAAACTACCCAAAGTCCCAGCCTCAATAACCCAACTAGGTAGACTGTTCCACTCATCAACTACCCTATTTCCAAACCAATACTTTCCTATGTCCTTTCTAAATCTAAACTTATCTAATTTAAATCCATTACTGCGGGTTCTCTCTTGGAGAGATATCCTCAAGACCTTGTTAATATCCCCTTTATTAATACCTATCTTCCACTTATACACTTCGATCGGGTCTCCCCTCATTCTTCGTCTAACAAGTGAATGTAACTTAAGAGTCTTCAATCTTTCTTCATAAGGAAGATTTCTAATGCTATGTATTAATTTAGTCATCCTACCTGAATGTTTTCTAACGAATTTATGTCCATTCTGTAATATGGAGACCAGAATTGAGCTGCATAATCTAGGTGAGGCCTTACGATTTCTTGAGTCATGTTGACGGCAGTGAAGGGACTTGAGCTAGAGTTCGTCACGGCCACGCTAGCTGGAGATTCGTCTGTAAAAACTTGCATTTGTGGTCACAGTGGTGCCTGTGCTAACCTTCCTATGGTGTAGAAATATACCTAGTTGGATGAATCTTATTGTGGCTAGCTGGTCTAGTGGCTAACGCGACGGGCTGGAGTTTTGAGACTCTCTGACCGCGGGTTCAATCCCGGCCGGGGGTATGGCTTGTTTGCAATCGTGTCATTACGATTTCTTGAGTCATTATTAGTGTCTTCCTGTGTAAAAACCGAGAGAAAATAATTATTTAAAATCGAGCACATTTCATTCTCTTTGTCAGTAAGGTGCCCATAGTTATTTTTAAGGGGACCTATCTTATCTCTGACTTTTGTTCTATAGACCTGGAAAAAACTTTTTGGGTTAGTTTTAGAATCCCTAGCAACTTTAATTTCATAGTCCCTTTTAGCTTTTCTTATCCCCTTTTTAATGTCCCTCTTAATGTCAATATACTGATTCATAAGATGACCCTCGCCTCTTTTGATACGCCTATAAATTCCTTTCTCATGCCCTAGTAGATATTTGAGCCTATTATTCATCCATTTTGGGTCATTTCTATTTGATCCAATTTCTTTATAAGGGATAAATGTTCTTTGAGCAGCATGTATAGTGTTCAGAAAACTGTCATATTGATAGCTCTCTTCGTTACCCCAGTCAACAGATGATAAGTGTTCTCTAAGCCCATCGTAATCTGCTAAGCGAAAATCTGGACTGTTACTGAGTTATCCCTACTATCATACTTCCATTCAATTCTAAATGTAATTGATTTGTGGTCGCTAGCACCCAGTTCCTCTGAAACTTCTAAATTATTAACAAGGGATTCATTGTTTGCCAGAACTAAGTCAAGCAGGTTATTACCCCTTGTAGGTTCTGTCACAAACTGCTTCAGAAAACAATCCTGAACTACTTCTAAGAAGTCGTATGATTCTAAATTCCCAGTCAAGAAATTCCAATCAATATGACTAAAGTTAAAGTCTCCTAGAATTACTACATTATGGCCCCCCCCCCCCCCCCCCAAATTTTTCCCCCCCCCCCCCCCCCCCCCCCCCTTTTTTCCTTCTTTTTCCCCTGGTTCCCCTTCCACCCAAAAATTTTGGGGGCGGTATATCAAACCTAAAATTTTTAAATTTTTTATGCCCCTCTGAAAATCCTATCCAAAAGCTTTTGTATGTTTAAATTTTTAGACTTAATACCCCTTTTTTTTGCAACCCGTTCAAGGATCTCGGACATAGCCTTCCCCAAAGAATAATAACAATTTAAAAATTTAAAAATTATTTTTTTTATTATTTTTATTTAATTATTTTTTTATTATTTTATTATTTTTAAAAGAAAAGCAGTGGGCCTTGTAGGAAAAGGGTGTCCCTCAGGGCACAAAGAGTTCCCTTTTAGCCCCCAGGGCTTGAAGAGACCAGGTCTAGGGCTCAGGGTGCTGGTCGGCTGGCTGCTTTGCCCCCAGGGCTAAAAAGGAAAACCAGGGGGCCCCCTTTTCTAGGGCCCCTTTTGGCGGGGTGGTAGGGCCCTTTAGAAGGGTTGAAGGGGGCCCGGTTCTATGGCTCAGGGTGTGGGGGGTGGCTGGGGGAAAATCAGGGCTAGAAGGGGGGAAAGGGAAGGGGTCTCAGGGGAAGGGTCCCCCCCTGGCCTAAGGGAAAACAGCATTTTATTTTTTTTTATTTTACGGGCGGTTGGAAAAAAAAATTTTGGCCAAAAAAAAAACCCAAGGACCTTTTTTGGTTTTATGGATTGGGTTTGGGCCCGAGGGAAAAGGAAAAAAATTTAAGATTTTAGGACGGGGGGAAAAAGGGGGTTAAAAGGGATGGGAAAAAGAGGAATTTCCCGGATTTTTTTCACTGGGGAAAAAGAAAAGGGGGAAGGATAGAAAAGGGAAAAGGAAATTTGGGGTTTGGAGTAAAACCCAAAAGGGGGGGGAGGGGTTTTTGGGAGGTGGGGGAAAGAAAAAACCAAAACCGGGGAAGCCAATTAGGAAAAACCCCAAGAAAAAAAAGGGGGGAACTAAATCCCCAAAAAGGGGGATAACAAAAGGGAATTTTTTTTAATTTTAAAATTTCCCCAAATTTAACCCCCCCAAAAAATAATTTAATTTAAAAATTACAAACCCCAAATTTAATATTTTGGGTTAGGGTTTTGTTCCCCGTATCCTCTTTATAAACCCCCTTAAACCCCCCCTTGACCCCCAATTCCCCAGGTTAAAAATTTTTCTTCTTTTTTATTTTATAAAATAAAAATTTTTCAATAAGGTTTTAAAAGAGTTATTTTTAATTTAAAAACAATTTTCCTTGTGTTTAAAGGTTGTTTTATAATTGGGCTGCCCCTCCAACACTTTTAACCAACCTAAGTGGTTACCAAAAAAATTCCCGAAGAACTTGTAAAAAAAGGGCCCAAAACTGGTTACCCCCAAAACAGAATGTCAGAAAATTTCTTGTAAAACAAACCTAAGCCCGGTTACCACCATCAGAAATGTCAGGAAAAAACTTGTAAACAAACCCCAAGCCCGGTTACCAAACATCAAACTGTCAGAAGACTGTAACCCAAAAATAAGCCTGGGACCACAACATCAGACTGTCAGAAGAAATTGTAACAAACCTAAGCCGGTTAACCCCCAACCCTCAGGGCTGTCAGAAGTCCCTTTAATCAAAAAAAAAGCTGGTTTTCCACTCTTTAAACTGTTTAGAAAATTTCTTGTAAAACAAACCCCAAGCCTGGTTACCCCAAAATCAGACTGTCAGAATTTTTGTAATCAAACCCCAAGCCCGGTTACCACAACATCGGAATGTCAGAAGTACTTGTAATCAACTAACCCCGGTTACCACAACATCAGACTGTCAGAAGTACTTGTAATCAAACCTAAGCCTGGTTACCACAACATCAGACTGTCAGAAGTACTTGTAATCAACCCTAAGCCTGGTTACCACAACATGAGTCAGTTCACATTGTAAGTTTTTCCAATATTCTCTATGTTCATGTTACCATAGCGAGTTATAGATCAACTCAAGCTTCTAAATGTATTCCTGTGACATTTAGATCCACTATTTACTCCTCTCAAGAAATATTTGACAGACAGATCCCGGCTTATATTCAGCCTCTTCCTTCCTTGGTTAATTTATCAACTTTAGAACGTAGGAGTAATTCTGTGAGTAATGGAAAATATATTAATTACGTTCTCTCTATTTTTTAATATCTATCTACTCTAATTTAATGTTTATGTCTGCCTAAACATGGTTGTTGGGGACCTTAACTAGGGCGGTCGTTAACTAGGGCGGTCGTTAACTAGGGCGGTCGTTAACTAGGGCGGTGGTAACAAGGAAAGATGCAGCCCTGCCAGTAGACTCCTGCTTAGATCCGTCAGTGGATATAATTTGTAATATGTTATTATTAACGAAGTGGTGGGCAGTTAGTGGTGGAGGCTCGAGCCTCCGTCCTCTAGTAGCTAGAAGTTGTAGCCGTAACCCAGAGGTTTAAGGGAACTGCTACCCACTCCCCTACTACCAGCTCCACTACCACCAACAACTACTATTCCACCACCACTACCACCACCTCCCCTACTACCAGCTCCACTACCATCAACAACTACTATTCCACCACCACCACTACCACCACTAATAACCCTACCACCGGTTGCAGGAACAACACTGTGAAGTACTGCCCCACGACCACCATAACCACCACTGCTACCACCACTACCACCACTGTTACCACCACTGCTACCACCACTACCACCACTGCTACCACCACTACCACCAACACCACAAGGGAGTGTTACAGTCCTGGTAACGGTCACATATTGTCCCTGGTTCTGGGTGACAGTTCTGGTCTCAGTAATTGGGAAGTGTGTTGTTAAAGTCTGGGTGAAGTATCTGGGCTCCTGTACGGTCCGAACCACTTGGTCTCGGACCGTCTGTGTCTGGACCGCTGTTTGTACCACCGTCCGGGTCTGGAAAACTGTCTTAAAGACAGTCTGGAACACCGTCTGTACCTGAGAAGAAAACAGACAGTCTGTGTAATAGTTACATTGTGGCAACACCAGTAGTGTTCAGATGTTACTCTCTCTCTCTCTCTCTCTCTCTCTCTCTCTCTCTCTCTCTCTCTCTCTCTCTCTCTCTCTCTCTCTCTCTCTCTTCTTCTTCCTCTTCTTCTTCTTCTTACCTGGTTATTCAGTTGGGTCCTAGTAATGACCTGGAGCCTGGTGGTGGTGGAGACCTGGTACCTTGTAGAGAAGGCCGTTTCGGTGACCTGTTGTACCTGAGTCTGTGTTAGGTACTCTGTGTCTGTTATGATCTTTGCCTTGGTCACATAGTTTGTCTCCGTCAGTAGCTGTGGAAGAAACATGGAAAGAGGCATTAAAACCCATGTGACAATACAATACGTGAGTTATATTTCCACACTGCCAGCAATAGGGTCTCGACACACCATTCTTGCGACTTGATTTCCAGTCTCTGGCTTGCCTGTCCCTGGCTTACCTGGCCCTGGCTTATCTGGCCCTGGCTTACCTGGCCCTGGCTTACCTGGCCCTGGCTTACCTGGCCCTGGCTTACCTGCCCCTGGCTTACCTCCGTCTGTGTCTGGATGATAGGAGGGACCACGGAAGTGACCACTTCCCTCTGTACCACAGTGGTTGGGTAGATTCTGGTCTCTGTAATGTCCCTGAAACAGTAGTAGGGATGGCTCGAGTCCTGGTACTGATGACGGTAGTAGGTACTAGACGGGTAGCTGTCACTACAGACACTTTGAGATGACAGGCATCTCCTCCTCCTGCTCCTCCTACTCCTGCTCCTACTCCTCCTCCTGTTCCTCCGATTGAATCCTACGCCAGGAGTCACAAAGAGACCTCTGAGATTTTCATTAAAGCCCTGAACCTGCAAAAGGTATTAAATTTTAGGTTAATATATCCAAAATCCTGCTCCCGGGTTAATAGATCCAGGATCATCGCTCCTGCATCCCGGTTACCATTGTAAAGACCATTTGCAATTTTAGTTTTTTCACGAAAGAAGTTGAATATTAAATCATTTACATTTATAGACCCAAAGAAAAGCTAAAATTAATATTAATTGATAGATTTTATTACATATTGGACTGGCAGAGATATGTATAGATGCTATAACTTTAGTATAAATTGTTTAAAATAGTTAAACAGAGATCTGATACTGTATTAATCAAGCTTGTAACAAAAGAGCATCACTAACATTGGAGAAGCCAAAGTTGTGGCCCAGATTCCCTCCTTGTGCGATGCTGTGACCATACGTGGCGGCCCCTTGACCGGCTCCACCTCCAACAATGATGCTAACAGCCTTATTTAAGCCTCCTGGATCAATGATACCTCCTGACTGGCTTGATCCTCCGCCATATATGACAGACAGTCCTGGTTTCAATCCCTGGCCACCAACATTGCTGTAACTATTACTGGAGGCTCTATACACCAGCAACATCACTACCATCACTAACGTCATCTCCCACCAACACATTCTTCGTCTCAACTCTGAAATATATTTTACGAGTGTAAAGTAGGTTAATGAAGGCGTCTTAATATACACATACAAACATATTTTTCACACAATGGCTGTCTTCCATCCAGCTAGAGTGACTCAAAAGAAAAGAAACCTGTTACCAATACTCATTTAATAACCGTCTTGCCTGTTGTGTGAGCAATTTATATATATATATATATATATATATATATATATATATATATATATATATATATATATATATATATATAATATAATATATATATATATATATATATATATATAAGGAAGAGAGAGACGGAGGCCATTACATAATCAGAGTACCTGGTTCCCTGGTTCAGATACCTGTAAACCTGTAAACTATATGACCGTAGTACCTGCAGAGGTCCTTTCTTGGGACTAAAGTCCCTGTAAGTTTCTTTTCTTGGAAGACGTTGGACACCTGCCCAAAATACCTGTTAATTTACACGGCAGAAGAAAACATCTTCCCTAATAACTACCGAGGGATTTAATCAGCTTTCTCCCGCCTTGGTCAGTGGGTTACTGCTAGCTGCAAAGATTTTGATCCAGTGAATTTGAGCTACTTCGCCCTGGGATCAAACTTGAGTGCATCCCATTCTTTCCGTCTCACGAGCACGCAAGATGACAGGTAAATCTCACGAACTTCCACTAACGTTCAGTGTACAGTTACCTTTCGTGTGTGTACAAATGACGGTGGTTCCCATTAGGGCCAACAGGAACGCCGCCTCCACCACAGATTTCATTCAGACCTTCAAACCAAAACTGGTTTTCTCTATCCACCTGGTTACGACTGCTCTCTCTCTCTCTCTCTCTCTCTCTCTCTCTCTCTCTCTCTAAGAAGATGCAACAGTGAAGCAACGATACAAGTCAGACAATCATCATATAACTTAAGGGGCCAAAGATTAGGTTAGATTTAGATATTGCCTCAAGGAAGCGAGCTTATTGGTCTGTGAGTGGACATAACACCATAATAACAGTACTGGACAGTGTCACTCGTACTGTGAGTGGACATAACAATTCGACAGAGCTGATAGTCCAGGATAAGGCAAGGTAAGCCAGGTAAGCCAGGTAAGCCAGGTAGTGTGGCTTATTTCTCTTTGAAGTCCTGATATCCTCCCCAGCATGTGACCCACAACAGTGGGTCACATCCTGGTTCCTATTTACTGCCTTTGTTAGTATTTTTTGCTAATTAGCAGAAGAATTGTAAGTATTATAAGTAATGTTAGGAAGAAATATTAGACTTGTTAGAAAATTGACAGGATCCAAGATCTAACTTTGTGGGTAACTGTAGACGTTGTATAGAAGTTACCACGACAGGCAAGCTGGATGGTAGATGGGGTAGACAGGTTGGTAGACAGGTGGGCAGCCTGGAAAGTCGCTGTGGGCTGGGAAAACCCACCACTGCCCACCTCTACCGGACGAGCCACGGTAATTACTGTCCTTGACACACACACACACACACACACACACACACACACACACACACACACACACACACACACACACACACTTTGAGTACATTTGAGTACTTGGAAAAGGCAGACAGCAGAGGACTTGGAAGTTCACATCGAGGCTGTCTGCTAGGAACTGCCTACTGCTCAGAATAGGAAGTGTTAGTTAGTTAGTTACCATTTTGTCCTAGGCACATGTCGATTAGACACTAGGCCTGTTGTGTGTGTGTAAGTGTGTAGGTGTGTAGGTGTGTAAGTGTGTAGGTGTGTAGGTGTGTAGGTGTCATGTATTATCTAGGTGTGTGTCAAGAATAGTCAGTTAGAAGGTTCTAAGAAGAGTTAGAGAGATGGTAGACTCCCCAGACAGCTGGTCACTAAGACAAACCAACAGACAGCTGGCCACTAAGATAAACCAACAGACAGCTGGTCACTAAGATAAAGCAACAGACAGCTGGTCACTAAGATAAACCAACAGACAGCTGGTCACTAAGATAAACCAACAGACAGCTGGTCACTAAGATAAAGCAACAGACAGCTGGTCACTAAGATAAACCAACAGACAGCTGGTCACTAAGATAAAGCAACAGACAGCTGGTCACTAAGATAAAGCAACAGACAGCTGGTCACTAAGATAAACCAACAGACAGCTGGTCACTAAGATAAACCAACAGACAGCTGGTCACTAAGATAAACCAACAGACAGCTGGTCACTAAGATAAACCAACAGACAGCTGGTCACTAAGATAAACCAACAGACAGCTGGTCACTAAGATAAAGCAACAGACAGCTGGTCACTAAGATAAACCAACAGACAGCTGGTCACTAAGATAAACCAACAGACAGCTGGTCACTAAGATAAAGCAACAGACAGCTGGTCACTAAGATAAAGCAACAGACAGCTGGTCACTAAGATAAACCAACAGACAGCTGGTCACTAAGATAAACCAACAGACAACTGGTCACTAAGATAAACCAACAGACAGCTGGTCACTAAGATAAACCAACAGACAGCTGGTCACTAAGATAAACCAACAGACAGCTGGTCACTATGATAAACCAACAGACAGCTGGTCACTAAGATAAAGCAACAGACAGCTGGTCACTAAGATAAAGCAACAGACAGCTGGTCACTAAAATAAACCAACAGACAGCTGGTCACTAAGATAAACCAACAGACAGCTGGTCACTAAGATAAAGCAACAGACAGCTGGTCACTAAGATAAACCAACAGACAGCTGGTCACTAAGATAAAGCAACAGACAGCTGGTCACTAAGATAAACCAAACAGACAGCTGGTCACTAAGATAAACCAACAGACAGCTGGTCACTAAGATAAACCAACAGACAGCTGGTCACTAAGATAAACCAACAGACAGCTGGTCACTAAGATAAACCAACAGACAGCTGGTCACTAAGATAAACCAACAGACAGCTGGTCACTAAGATAAACCAACAGACAGCTGGTCACTAAGATAAACCAACAGACAGCTGGTCACTAAGATAAACCAACAGACAGCTGGTCACTAAGATAAACCAACAGACAGCTGGTCACTAAGATAAACCAACAGACAGCTGGTCACTAAGATAAAGCAACAGACAGCTGGTCACTAAGATAAACCAACAGACAGCTGGTCACTAAGATAAACCAACAGACAGCTGGTCACTAAGATAAACCAACAGACAGCTGGTCACTAAGATAAAGCAACAGACAGCTGGTCACTAAGATAAACCAACAGACAGCTGGTCACTAAGATAAAGCAACAGACAGCTGGTCACTAAGATAAACCAACAGACAGCTGGTCACTAAGATAAGCCAACAGACAGCTGGTCACTAAGATAAACCAACAGACAGCTGGTCACTAAGATAAACCAACAGACAGCTGGTCACTAAGATAAACCAACAGACAGCTGGTCACTAAGATAAACCAACAGACAGCTGGTCACTAAGATAAACCAACAGACAGCTGGTCACTAAGATAAACCAACAGACAGCTGGTCACTAAGATAAACCAACAGACAGCTGGTCACTAAGATAAAGCAACAGACAGCTGGTCACTAAGATAAACCAACAGACAGCTGGTCACTAAGATAAACCAACAGACAGCTGGTCACTAAGATAAACCAACAGACAGCTGGTCACTAAGATAAACCAACAGACAGCTGGTCACTAAGATAAACCAACAGACAGCTGGTCACTAAGATAAACCAAAAGACAGCTGGTCACTAAGATAAACCAACAGACAGCTGGTCACTAAGATAAAGCAATAGACAGCTGGTCACTAAGATAAACCAACAGACAGCTGGTCACTAAGATAAACCAACAGACAGCTGGTCACTAAGATAAACCAACAGACAGCTGGTCACTAAGATAAACCAACAGACAGCTGGTCACTAAGATAAACCAACAGACAGCTGGTCACTAAGATAAACCAACAGACAGCTGGTCACTAAGATAAACCAACAGACAGCTGGTCACTAAGATAAACCAACAGACAGCTGGTCACTAAGACAAACCAACAGACAGCTGGTCACTAAGATAAACCAACAGACAGCTGGTCACCAAGATAAACCAACAGACAGCTGGTCACTAAGATAAACCAACAGACAGCTGGTCACTAAGATAAACCAACAGACAGCTGGTCACTAAGATAAACCAACAGACAGCTGGTCACTAAGATAAACCAACAGACAGCTGGTCACTAAGACAAACCAAACAGACAGCTGGTCACTAAGACAAACCAACAGACAGCTGGTCACTAAGATAAACCAACAGACAGCTGGTCACTAAGACAAACCAACAGACAGCTGGTCACTAAGACAAACCAACAGACAGCTGGTCACTAAGATAAACCAACAGACAGCTGGTCACTAAGATAAACCAACAGACAGCTGGTCACTAAGACAAACCAACAGACAGCTGGTCACTAAGATAAACCAACAGACAGCTGGTCACTAAGATAAACCAACAGACAACTGATCACTAAGATAAACCAACAGACAGCTGGTCACTAAGATAAACCAACAGACAGCTGGTCACTAAGATAAACCAACAGACAGCTGGTCACTAAGATAAACCAACAGACAACTGATCATTAAGATAAACCAACAGACAGCTGGTCACTAAGATAAACCAACAGACAGAAACAGAGCGGCTAAAAGAGGTCAATATATCTGAAATGCGCAGGGAGACACTGGTCAGAGAAATAGCAAGCATCGAACTTAAGCTAAAAGAATCCTTTAGGAGTCAGGAATCGCGGGAAGAACTAAAAGCCATAAATGAAATCGAAAGAAACCCAAAGTATTTCTTCTCCTATGCCAAATCAAAATCGAGAACAACGTCCAGTATTGGGCCCCTACTTAAACAAGATGGGTCCTACACAGATGACAGCAAGGAAATGAGTGAGCTACTCAAGTCCCAATATGACTCAGTTTTTAGCAAGCCGCTAACCAGACTGAGAGTCGAAGATCAAAATGAATTTTTTATGAGAGAGCCACAAAATTTGATTAACACAAGCCTATCCGATGTTATCCTGACGCCAAATGACTTCGAACAGGCGATAAATGACATGCCCATGCACTCTGCCCCAGGGCCAGACTCATGGAACTCTGTGTTCATCAAGAACTGCAAGAAGCCCCTATCACGAGCCTTTTCCATCCTATGGAGAGGGAGCATGGACACGGGGTCGTCCCTCAGTTACTAAAAACAACAGACATAGCCCCACTCCACAAAGGGGGCAGTAAAGCAACAGCAAAGAACTACAGACCAATAGCACTAACATCCCATATCATAAAAATCTTTGAAAGGGTCCTAAGAAAGCAAGATCACCACCCATCTAGAAACCCATCAGTTACACAACCCAGGGCAACATGGGTTTAGAACAGGTCGCTCCTGTCTGTCTCAACTACTGGATCACTACGACAAGGTCCTAAATGCACTAGAAGACAAAAAGAATGCAGATGTAATATATACAGACTTTGCAAAAGCCTTCGACAAGTGTGACCATGGCGTAATAGCGCACAAAATGCGCGCTAAAGGAATAACAGGAAAAGTCGGTCGATGGATCTATAATTTCCTCACTAACAGAACACAGAGAGTAGTCGTCAACAGAGTAAAGTCCGAGGCAGCTACGGTGAAAAAGCTCTGTTCCACAAGGCACAGTACTCGCTCCCATCTTGTTCCTCATCCTCATATCCGACATAGACAAGGATGTCAGCCACAGCACCGTGTCTTCCTTTGCAGATGACACCCGAATCTGCATGACAGTGTCTTCCATTGCAGACACTGCAAGGCT